AAGCTGTGCAGTTCAGATGATTAATAAGGATATTAAAGAACAGAAGATAGAAGACAGAAGTTAAAATACAAACAAAAATTTTATTTGCACAATGCAGATTAAATGAGTTTCCTCTAAACTTCTCTTTCTATTTTACAGACTCAGCACTGGGGTTTTGTTCTGGCATTTTCAGTCAATTTTTCTCCTTTCAAGCCAAAAAAACAGCTACTTCTGGGCAACTGCCCTGACCCTTAAATTTTTGTTCAAGTTTATCTCTTCCATAGTGTCCAAAGTTTACCCTGTATCTGTGTATTAATGTTCCAAGGGTTTGTTAAAGAAGTCTTAACCCACTCTGCAGCTTCTTTTGTGTTTCCCTCCTTCAGTTTAGTTCAAGTTCAGCTCAGTCGCTCAGTCGTGTCCGATTCTTTGCAGCCCCATGAACCGTAGCATGCCAGGCCTCCCTATCCATCAGCAACTCCCGGAGTTTACCCCAACTCAAGTCCATTGAGTCGGTGATGCCATCCAACCATCTCATCCTCTGTCATCCCCTTCTCCTCCTGCCCTCAATCTTTCCCAGCATCAGGGTCTTTTCAAATGAGTCAGCTCTTTGCATCAGGTGGCCAAAGTATTGGAGTTTCAGCTTCAACATCAGTCCTTCCAATGAACACCCAGGACTGATCTCCTTTAGGATGGACTGGTTGGATCTCCTTGCAGTCCAAGGGACTCTCAAGAGTCTTCTCCAACACCACAGTTCAAAAGCATCAATTCTTTGGCTCTCAGCTTTCTTCACAGTCCAACTCTCACATCCATACATGACTACTGGAAAAACCATAGCCCTGACTAAATGGACCTTTGTTGACAAAGTAATGTCTCTGCTTTTTAATATGCTGTCTAGGTTGGTCATAACTTTCCTTCCAAGGAGTAAGAGTCTTTTCATTTCATGGCTACAATCACCATCTGCAGTNTCTGGTCCTCAGACCTTCCTTTGTTCTATTTTTGTGGGCTTTTCCCTTCTTTGTCTTTTAGCCACCACCATTTTGGACTCCTTTTTCCTATTCTAACTCCCTAACAATTAGTATCATCACATGGTATACGTATTTATGCTATGACATTTTGTATATATTGTTGTTATTCAGTCATCAAGTTGTGTCTAACTCTCTGCGATCACATGGACTGCAGCAAGCCAGGCTTCCCTGTCCTTCACTATCTCTCAGAGTTTGCTCAAACTCATGCCCCCTGAGTCAGGGATGCCATCCAACCATCTCATCCTCTGTTGTGCCCTTTTCCTCCTGCTATCTTTTCCAGCATCAGGGTCTTTTTCAGTGAATCAGTTCTTTACATCAGGTGACCAAAGTGTTGGACCTTCAGCATCAGTCCTTCCAGTGAATATTCAGGGTGGATATCCTTTAGAATTGACTGGTTTGATCTCTTTGCTGTCCAAAGGATTCTTAAGAGTCTTCTCCAACACCACAGTTTGAAAACATCAATTCTTTGGCACCTAGCCTTCTTTATGGTACAACTCTTACATTTATATATGACTACTGGAAAGACCATAGCTTTGACCATATGGACCTTTGTCAGTAAGTGATGTTTCTGCATTTTAATATAGGTTTGTCATAGCTTTTCTTCCAGGGAGCAAGCATCTTTTAATTTCATGGCTGTGGTCACTGTCTGCAGTGATTTTGTATATATTAATATGAGAAAAACTGGATAGAACTAATTTAAACCAACTGCTTGATACGAAAAGCTGCCCTAGACCCAGGGTCTCCAACTTTTGGACTACAGATCCATACCTCCTGTTAGATCACTGGCAACATTAGGTTAGAAATAAAGTGCGCAATAAATGTAATTGTGAATCATCCTGAAGCCATCCCTTCCACCCTCAGTCTGCAGAAAAAAATTTGTCTTCCACAAAATTGGTCCCCAATGCCAAAAAGGTTGAGGACCACTGCCCTAAACAGCAAAGACCTACCGTATAGCATAGAGAACTATACTCAACAACTTGTAATGACCTATAATGGAAAAGAATCTGAAAAATATTACATATATATATATCTGAATCACTTTGCTGTATACTTGAAACTGCATAATGTTGTAAATTAACTACACTTCCATTTTTAAAAAGATATTTAAAAAGAAAAGCTGCTCATTTTTCAATAATATTAAAATGTGAACAATGAAGGAAACAGATAATAGTAATACTACTAATAATAACAATATAATGCTAAAAAGAAGCACGACAACAGCATTGAAGACTTGCTATATGCCAAACACTGAACACAGCTATTTAATCGGTTTTCTTTTTTTAATCCCCACAAAATTATGTCCATTTTACTGATAAGGAAATCAGAGTTTTCAGAAGTTGAATTACTTAAATCCACAGTTTATAACCAGTTTTTATTTTCAAAGCCTGTTCTGTATGACTCTAAAATCCCAACTCAGGCATTAATGTAGTTTGAAAACTGCTTTTAGTTTTTGTGATACTTAAGAAGTCATAAATATTGGTCCCAAACCAAAGTAATTTTTAATACATCAATAAAAGCAAACTTCTAAAAGATTAACTTAATAAAATACCTAGTAATGATTTTAAAATAACATAGTCAAATCAAATTACATGTTGTGTGCCCAAGGGGGCATTTTCTATCAATATACACATAGTGTTTCTATCTGAAAAAGAAAACTACGCATCTGGGAGCCTGCTCTGAGAAGCCTGGGCATCTACTGCCTTTCACAAAGAATGTTCACTAATGAAATGTTTTAGATAAAAACTGACATTCAAAATCTGTGAGCTCTTTGCCTGAAGGCAGTGCACACAGCTGGCTTCTGGCAGTTGGTTTATTCCTAAGGCCAGGTCCTTCCTGAAGTCTGTCTGTGCCGGGGGCCTTGTGAAAGGTCAGAATGACATTGTTAATGGACTCCAGAACTGGCTGTGCATCTGCTGGGCCCTATAAAACTCAGACAGGTATGAATCTGAAAGATAAATGGGAAGGCTCAGGTATCTACAGGAGAAATAGTCACTGTTGAAAAGATTTCTCTCCACTGGAGAGAAAAGGGACATTTTTTTTTAAGAGGTGTCAGGGAGAGAGGTGAGGGAGACATTGTCAGGTGACTAATATGGTCCAGAAAGGCTCTGAATCACTGCCATTTAAAGTGAGACTCACTTAGGAGGTCACATGCAACTCCAAAGTGCCCATGTGGTTGCTCAGAACAGGAACAATCAGCAGTAACACACTGAATGTAATGGAGAACTTCTTTGCTCTTCAATCAACATTGCCCATTCCTTTCACCATCTAGTTAGACTAAGAAGCCAGGTCATGCATAGTTTTATACATCTGTACTAGTCCAGAGAAACAGTATATATATATATATATATATATACACACACACACACACACACACATATACATACATACACACACACACACGTATACACACACACATATATGCATATATGTTGTTGTTTAGTCACTCAGTCGTGTCCAACTCTTGTGACCACATGGACTGTAGCTCGCCAGGCTCGTCTGCCATGGGATTTCCCAGGCAGGAATACTGGAGTGGGTTGCCATTTCCTCCTCCAAGGAATCTTCCTGACCCAGAGATTAAACTTTCATCTCCTGCACTGCAGGTGGATTCTTTACTTGCTGAGCCATCCAGAAGCTCAATAAATATCCAGATATACACGTATATGGGGCTTCCCAGGTGGGTCAGTGGTAAAGAAGCTGCCTGCCAATCAGGAGACACAGGTTTGATCCCTGGGTCAGGAAGATCCCCTGGAAAAGGTAAAGTAATTGCCTGAAAACTGCCCTGAACAGAGGAGCACGGTGGGCTACTGTACAAAGGGTGGCAGAGTCACAACCCAGTGTCTAAGCACACAGCACACACATGGATATTTATTAGGAGGAACTGGCTCATGTGATTACGGATTCTGAGGATTCCCACAGTCTGCAGTCTGCAAGCTGGAGATCAAGGAGAGCTAGTGCTGTAATTCTATTCTGAGTCCAAACGCCTGCGAACCTGGGGAACCAATGGTATGTTTCAATCTGAAAATGGGAGATCAATGCCCCAACTCAGCAGGCAGGCAGAGAGAGAATTCAACCTTCTTCTATCTTTCTGTTCTATTCAAGACCTCAGTAGATTAGATGATGCCCACTTATGCTGGGGGAGGGCTGTCTGCTTTGCTGAGCACACTGATTTAAATGCTAATGTCATCTGAAAACGCTCTCACAAACTTACCCAGAATAAGATTTAATCAGGGCCCAGTCAAGTTGACACATAAAATTAACCATCACAGTTATATAATTAGCTTTTTAAAATGCAAAATAATGGCCGGAAGTGTTTAAATGCAATTAAACTATGACTTCATTTACTTATCTATTATTGTCAGTAAATGATGATAAGGAGTGCTCAGGGGACTTCCTAATGTCAAATAATGTATGTTTAAAACAAGATTTAATCAACTTACCTTAAACTATTTCACATACGTGTATCTAAAAATGAATTATTGATGAAAAAAGTATAAAAAATTTCTACAAAGTAACCACTATTAATTTTACAGTTTTAAATATATTCTTTTCCATTATGGAAACCATGATGGAACAGAGTCACCACTTTTTAAGGTAGGGACAGTGACAGTTTAAAACACAATATTCTAAGTTTATAAGAGAAATATAGATTTGATTCATCTCATCTTAAAGCTACTAAATATCTTTTTTCTTTTAACTCAGAGCTGTCAAGGAGGATTTTGACTACAAAGAGTCTAAGCCTTGTAAAAAGAATTTCCATGGCTAATCTAAAGAAAATTGTCAAGAATAAAAGGAGTAGGTCCATTTTACCCTCAGGACCACAGTGAGGGGAATGGTGGTGGCAAGGCTGGGTGATGTATAAGGAGCTTCCTTGACGGAAGTGGGTTAATCCTTGCTTGCCCCCTACTTCTATCTACTTCAGAAAAGTAGAGAAGAGAGGAGTTTCAATGAAATGGGTAGAGGAAACTTTAAGGAAACTCATGGAAAAGTCTAGCTTACTCCTCGTCTCTTATCCTGGAGAAGCAGGTCCAGAGTTGCTTGTGGTAGACCCTACCGGGGGAGGCAGCACAGCTCGCGGTTCCCTTAGAGACCTTCTTATCCTGTTGTCATCTGAGAAAAGTGAAGAGAAGTGAAAGCCAGCTGTGTCCAACTCTTGGCAACCCCGTGGTCTGTAGCCCACCAGGCTCCACTGTCCATGGAGTTCTCCAGGCAAGAATCCTGGAGTGGATAGCTGTTTCCTTCTCCAGGGGATCTTTCCAACCCAGGGGTTGAACCAAAGTCTCCCACACTGTGGGCTTCCCTTGTAGCTCAGTTGGTAAGGAATCTGCCTGCAGTTCAGGAGACCTGGGTTCAATTCCTGGGCCAGGAACATACCCTGGAGAAAGAAACGGCAACCCACTCCAGTATTCTTGCCTGGAGAATCCCATGGACAGAGGAGTCTGGCAGGCTACAGTCCATGGTGTTGCAAGAGTTGGACATGACTTAGCAATTAAACCACCACCTCCTACATTGCAGGTAGATTCTTTACTGCCTCAGAAAAGGAGAACATCAAATCCAAGCTGGTCCACCCTCTTTCCCAGAATTTGACTCCTGACTGCAGAGAAGCAGCAGCTTAGTGGATTGAATGTCAATGAAACTTCTCCAGGTGCAGAGAGGCAAGCACATTGCTTCCCAACTCCCTAAACTCAGGGTTCACAGCATCCTCTGCATGATGAGCTATTTTAATGTCCTTTAAAAAAGAATTATTGACAACCTTAGTTTCTGTTACTTATATCAAAAGAACTGAACTACTATCCTCCATAAGTGAATAATATGCTATCTTTCTTTTTTCATAACTTTTTGTTCTAGTTCTGTGAAAACTGCCATTGGTAATTTGATAGAGGTTGGGTTGAATCTGTAGATTGCCTTGGGTAGTAGAGTCATTTTAACAGTATTGATTCTTTCAATCCAGGAACACAGTATATCTTTCCATCTCTTTGTGTCTTTAATTTTTTCATCGGTTTTCAGAGTATAGGTCTTTGCCTCCTTAGTTAGGTTTATTCCTAGATATTTTATTCTTTTTGATATGATGGTAAATGTTATTGTTTCTCTAATTTATCTTTCTGTCGTTTAAAGCTGTGTCTTGCGGGACCCTGCTATATTGTGTTCTAGTTTTGTCAGAGACTTCTTTTTCATAAAGCAGATCTTGATCATTCATGGTCTCTAGTTCTACCACTTCAGTGATAACTCATTAGGTAAAAAATTAAAGTTACTAAAAAACTCCAGCAGGCAGAAATGGACAAGAACTCTGTTATAGTAATTTAGAATGTTAATTAATAACATGACTTGAGATTGCTATATTTCTTCTATTACATATTTAAATATCTACCTCCTGCTTTGTTTATCCCACCCCCACGAATATGTGTAACAATTCAATTTACTTGGCTTCTGTTAACCTTGCAAAGCAAGTGATTAGGAACCAGAACTAGAGAAATAAATAAGCATGTTCCTTGCTTCAACAGAGCTTAAAGTTTAAATGAGAGAATTTACATGATCCATGTAAGAGATAGCTAAGTGTGGTAGAAGAGGAAAAAAAAAAAGTGAGAAGTGAAAACAAAATACCAAAGCGTGGGAAAAGAAAAGAATATGTAAGACAGGGACTGCCCTAGTGGTCCAGTGGCTACGGTTTCATGCTCCCAGTGCAGAGGGCCTGGGGTCGATCCCTGGTTATGGAACTAGATCCTGCATGGTGCAACTAAAGATCCTGTATGCCACAGTGAAAATAGAAGGTCCCACGTGCCACAACTAAGACTGCCACAACAATCAAATAAATTAAAACAAAATACTTTAAAAAAAAAGGAAAGAAGAATGTGTAAGACAGTTATCTGGAAGAGTGGGGCCATCAAAGTTGGGTAGAATTGTAACAGAGATGGAGGGACATTATATAAAAAAACCACACAGGGAGGGGCATGAGGAGAGTAGCTACCTGATACAGATCTGTGATGATTTTACTTTCAGCTGTCTTTCTGTCTCTCTTCCCCAACAGCTAAGTGATTCTCCCACAAGCTGCTGCCTAGGGGTTTCTATCAAGTCATGGCCAGAAATTATGCCAATGGCCCTTATGACCTGCTGCTGGTAGCTAATTGTTGCCTCTCCTCTGTTATGTTTCCATGACCTCACCCTTTTACATCATCTATTTTTTTTTTTTTCTCTCGTACCAGGAGTTAACGCTCCAACACACATGCAACATGTTCTGTTGGCTAAGCATCCTGTATCCTTTCATTTCTGTTTTGAGTTGAGAGCCATTTGAATGTAATAACTTTTTCTGCATTTATTTCAACATGCTTTTATTACAGAACGATTATGAGCTTGAGGCTTAGGGATGTCAGTTCCTGATTGCACATGGAAAAATGGCTGCAGTTCACTCTAAGCACATGTGTATGTGTGTTTATTCTCAAAGTACAGCAGTCCTGCAAAGAAGGCAACCATCAGCTCTTTGTGGTGAGTACACCTCTAAGTCTTTGTGGCCTCATAATGCTTTAGCAGTGCTCTGTGAGGGCACCTTAAGTGGTCAACCACCAAGTCTGAAAAATAGAGCCTGGAGCTGGTGATTTCAGCTGTGACATCCAAGCCAGACCTTGAAGACAAACTGGTTTGGGGAGCTTCTGAGAACCTCCCATTTCTGAACTTCCTCCTAGGATGTGAGATTTGGAGCTCTTTGTTCTGTGTCTGAGTCATCAACTCATTATCCACAAAAGAAATGTCACTAAAAAACTCCAGTAGGCAGAAATGGACAAGAACTCTGTTAGAGTAATTTAAAATCCTTGACTTGAAATGTGCATACATGCTGAATTAGTTCAGTCGTGTCTGACTCTTTGCAGTGACTGTAAACCCAAGAAGAGGAAATTTGTCACTGGTTCCACCTTTTCCCCTTCTATTTGCCCTGAAGTAATGGGGCCAGATGCCATGATCTTAGTTTCTTTGTTTGTTTTTTTAAATATTTAGTTTTAAGCCAGCTTTTTCACTCTCACCCCTTCACCCTTGTCAAAAGATTGTTTAGTTCCTCTTTAATTTCTGCCAATAGAGTGGTATCATCTGCATATCTTATGTTGTGATATTTCTCCCGGCAATCTTGATTCCAGTTTGTGCTTCATCCAGCCCAGCATTTCACGTGATGTGCTCTGCGTGTAAGTTAAGTGAGCAGGGCGACGCTNGCATGGCAACCCACTCCAGTATTCTTTCCTGGAGAATCCCAGGGACAGAGTTACTTGGTGGGCTACAGACCATAGGATTGCAAAAAGTCAGATGTGACTTAGCATGCATGCACCACTGGTTAAGACTCCAAGCTTCCGCTGCAGGGGATGTAGGTTTAATCCCTGGTTGGGGAACTAAGATCTCACGTGCTGCATGACCTAAAAAATTTTTTTCAAAACCATGAGAGATTTTAAACCCACCCCCAAATAGAGTGATAGCATGTTTTAAAATTTTGTATCTTTAAAAAAAAAAAAAACAAAGCATTGCAGATACAGCTAAAAACTGCTTCCCATCTCCTGTTTTTAGTTTTTCTTGGATCAGGTGGTAATCCAAATCTTTATAACCGCTTTTATAGCCTTCTCAGACACTGAAACTTTCTGTGTCTCTTTCAATGTAGTAGCTAGATTCATTCTAGTAATAATCTTCACTTTCTATTATTTTCATTTTTAATTGACGTAGAACTGATCTACAATGTTGTGGTTTCTGGTGAATAGAAAAGTGACTCAGACACATATATATGTATCTGTCTGTGTGTGTGGGGGGGGTACATATATGTGTGTTAAGTCACTTCAGTAGTGTCTAACTCTTTGTGACCTTATGGACTGTAGCCTGCCAGACTCCTCTGTCCATGGGATTCTCCAGACAAGAACACTGGAGTCGATTGCTGTGGGGTTCTCCAAGGGATCTTCCTGACTCAGGAATCAAACCCACATCTCTTATGCCTCATACACTGGCAGGCAGTTTCTTTACCAGTAGCATTACCCGGGACTCTTATATAACACACACACACACACACACACACACACACACACACACACACATATATATTCTTTTCCATCACATTTACTATAGGATATTTAATGTATTCTTCCCTGTGCTATACAGTAGGATGTTTCTATTAATTTCTGGTTTCTAAGTCATTTACCAGAAATGTCGCAAATGATTTACTAATACTATTAATTTTGCTCCATAAACTTATTAGTTTATATTTCTTCAAGGTTAAATAAAAATAATGAAACAAAATTTCAAATGAAACACTTTTAAAATTAAAACACATAGATTTAAAGTAATTACTTTCCTCAAATGTATTTTTCTAACCTGTTCTTAGAAAAGAAACCTTTTTCCTACACATAGAAAGTACATGATAAGAGATTCCACTTTAAATTTTAAGGGGTCAATGTATTCAGAATAATAACTCCCATCTCGAATTCATAACAGAAATAATAACCTTTTAAATTAGAGTTCTGATGAGTTTTTAATGAAAACAACAAAATCATAATTACTGTAGCAAGTACAGATAAAAGACTAAATGATGGTTTTGTAAACTCTTCAACATCTGACTGTTATTTATTGATTTCTTGTGCCCTGTGTTTCAGGCAGATACCTACCAGGAGGGCACACAAGGAGGACACAGGAGGCTTCAGGCTGCCAACACCCCATCACAGGAGTAGGAAGCTTCTTTAGATCAGCTACAGCAAGAGTCATCTGCCTGGGCTGACCTGTGGACAGAAGGAAACTACTTCCTAGAGTAGGCATAGCAATTATTATTATTCCAGGCCGCTAAATGGGGAATTATAGGAACAGAATTAGTGTAGATGTCCTTGGTAGTCTAGATCTTCTTTATCACACAAGAAAAAGGAACAGGGAAGAAAAGAAAAATAATCTATTTGAAAAAGAAAACAAAAAAGTCCAGAGCAGAAAGAGCAAGAAGAAAGAGAAAGAAAAAAACATGTGATGATGTTACTCCTCAGCATACGGTTAAAGGCTGACATTAATCAGCCTTTATGGTTAAAACTGCTACCCCTGCCCCTATGCATAGGGCTACCATATTCCTAGATGGATTCCCAATAGCCACATGTGCCTAAACCAAGGTGGGGTCATATCAGAGTGCATCAGTCTAATCACCCCTTGCCTAGAGATGTGCTTTCCACAAAGGTTGAATATATCAGACTGCTCTTCCAAGATATTTCTAAATCAGAGTAGAGCAAGATGTCTTTCTGGTTGTGGAAGCTGGAAGATGTTAAACTCAAAGCTCACAAGAGGCAAGGCTCCCACCACAGGGCAGAGACTGATATGCGGGAGGGACTGAAAGACTGTGTGGTGTGGTTTGTCTCCTTGGTCCCTGCTGCTCCTGAAGCTCAGCTGGGTCTTCCCATTCACAACAGGATTTCCCATTTTCCTGTACTAACTCGAGTTGGTTTAACTTTGGGAATCATAAATGCCACAGCATGAAAGTAAAACTGAAAGAGAAAGAGAGATTAGGACAAAACATATAATGAAGGAATGGAATAATAAAAAAAAAAAGACATCCACTACATGTTGTTTTCATGAAACATGTGATCATTTTGGGGAGATGCCATGGCAAGGAGTTGAGAGCAGCCTGCATCTAACAGCCAGGAAGAAGCTGGGGCCCTCAACCTCACAAGCACAAGGAAATAAACTCTACCAGTAGCCTGATTGAATTTAGCAACAGATCCTTCCCTATTTGGTCTTCCAGATGAGACCCTTGGCTTCCCAGGAGGTGCTTCTGTTAAAGAATCCATCTGCCAATTCAGGAGGCTCAAGAGAGGCAGGTTTGATCCTGGGTCAGGAAGATCCCCTGGAGGAGGAAATGGCAACCCACTCCAGTACTGCCTGGAGAATCCCATGGACAGTTAAAGCCTGCCAGGCTCCTCTATCCATGGGGTCGCAAAGAATCAGACATGACAGAGCAGCTGAGCACACACAGAGATGAGAACACAGACCTACCTGACGCGTCCACTGAAGTCATGCACAGGGCAAAGATAAGCCTATATATATACATATATAATCAAGAGGCTTTCCAGGTGGTGCTAGCGGTAAAGAACCCTCCTGCCAATGCAGGAGATGTAAGAGACGTGGGTTCAATCCCTGGGTCAGGAAAATCCCCTGAAAGAAGGCATGGCAACGCACTCCAGCATTCTTGCCTAGAGAATCCCATGGACAGAGGAGCCTGGCGGGCTACAGTCTATGGGTTGCAAAGAGTCAGACAGGACAGAAGTGACTTAGCATGCATGCACACATATATTATTAAGCAGCAATAGATAATACAAATTTGGTACCTGGACATGTTATCTTGCTATAACAACTACATGAAAATGTGATCATGACTGTGGATGAAGGCAGAAGGAGGATAAAAGAATTTTAAGAAGCGTGAGAGAACAACTAAATTTCCTGGAATAGACTGTTAGTAGAAATTTGAGAATTGAGGATGGTATTGGTGAGGGCTCAGAAGGAAGTGAAGAGCATGTTATTGGAACTGAAAGAAGTGTGGTCATTGTTATATAGTTTCAAGAGCTTGCAGAAATTGTCTCTTGCAGTTATTTCAGAAAAGGAATTTATAAATGATGAACTTGGTTCCATAGCTAAGGAGGAAAGAGGTAGGTATCTTCTGGTTTGTTCTTGCTACTTACAATACAGTGTGAGAGGAGAGAGATAAATTAATTCAGAGAAGAACTTTTAAACAAAAAGGAGCCAGTTTTTGATGACTTTAAAATTCTCCAGACATCACAGAAAAAAAAAAAAAAACAAACAAGAGTGTGACTAAAAGAATTTTGTTAAACCTCAGAAAGATCAAATGGTCAGAGTATTCAAAAGGCCTTTCAGGTGATCAAGGGTATCATTTCAGTCACACCAGAAGTCTCTAAAATCCTAGAGAATATTGTCTTTCAAGCTTCACGGCAGAAACACAGGTAGAGAAGGGCTTATCTAAAAGGCACATGGGGGCATTTGTCTACTGATGTAAACCTCAAGGAAATCCATGAGAGACTCACAGATTCTTTTTTTTTCCTTGTTGATCAATATTTTTCTAGTTTTTTTTTAATTGAAGTATAGTTGATTTACTGTAGTAAATATGTATATTTACTAAGTTATCATTGTGTTAATTTCTGTGTACAGCAAAGTGATTCAGTTATACACATTTTTTTAACATTCTTTCCCATTGTGATTTATCACAGGACCTGGAACAGCTTCCCCTGCACTATCCAGTAGGAACGTATTGTTAATCCACCCTCCATACAACGCTCTGGGTCTGCTGACCCCTGACTCCCATCCTGCCCCTCCTCACCCCGCCTCTGCAACCACCGGTTTGTTTCCTATGCTGTGAGTCTGCTTCTGGTTCATAGGTAAGTTAATTTGTGTCACATTTTAGATCACATATGAGTGATATCACACCCTATTTATCTTTCTCTGTCTTACTTCACTTAGCATGATAATTTCTAGGTCCATTCATGTAGCTGCAAATGGCATCATTTCATTCTTTTTCAGTTCAATCAGTTCAGTCATTCAGTAGTGTCTGACTCTTTGCAACCCCCATGGACTGCAGCTCTCCAGGCTTCCCCGTACATCACCAACTCCCAGAGCCTGCTCAAATTCATGTCCATCAAGTTGGTGATTCCATCCAACCATCTCATACTCTGTCCTCCCACTTTCAATATTTTCATCAGGGTCTTTTCAAATGAGTCAGTTCTTTGCCTCAGGAAGCCAAAGAACTGGAGCTTCAGTTTCAGCATCGGTCCTTCCTATGAATAGTCAGGACTGATCTCCTTTAGGATGGACTTGTTTGATCTTGCAGTCCAAGGGACTCTCAAGAGTCTTCTCCAACACCACTGTTTGAAAGTATCATTTATCTGGGACTCAGCTTTCTTTACAGTCCAACTCTCACATCCATACATGACCACTGGAAAAACCATAGCTTTGACTAGATGGACCTTTGTTGGCAAAGCAATGTCTCTGCTTTTTCATATGATGACTATGTTTGTCATAGCTTTTCCTCCAAGCAGCAAGCATTTTTTAATTTCATGGTTGCAGTCACCATCTGCAGTGATTTGGGAGCCCAAGANCCAGTTTAAAATTATTTTTTAATTTAAAAAGAGTTTATCAAAACCATAAAATTCTACTGGCAGGAAGCAAGTTGCTAAAATCATTCAACTGCAAATACATAAAACCCTCATGGAAAAGAGAAGATGACTCACATGGCTGAATCACGAATTCAGAGGGTAGAGCCAATAGCCATGGAAAATTATTTCCATTCTTTGAAATCTAATCAGGAAACTCCTAACATTTTACTGACTGTTTCATTGTTAGAGACCAGTGACTATTCTGTACTTTGCTTTTTCTCCTTCATAGAATATCTATTATCATTGTCATTGTTGTCATTTAGTCACTAAGTCATGTCAAACCCTTTTGCAAATCCATGGACTATAGTCTGCCAGTCTCCTCTGTCCATGGGATTTCCCAGGAAAAGATGCTGGAGTGGGTTGTGATTTCCTTCTCCACAGGATCTTCAAACCCAGGGATTGAACCCACATCTCCTGCCTTGGCCGGCAGATACTATGCCTCTGAGCCACTTGGGAAGCCCAGGAATGTTTGCAGCTGTTATCAACAACTATCCCACCACTGAATGCTGGGTACATGAGCAGGGGACAGGTAACCTGAGCTTAAACTGGCTGCTGACTCTGTAGATTTACAGATTAACTGATGAAGAAGAGCTTCCCATAGAGAGTCTCATCCACACCTAGAATTGATTTACATGAAGAGATTCTTAACTCAGAATCAGATGCTGATGCTCTCATGGGATGAGGCTCTTGAAGACCTCAGGATGGGATGAAGGTGTTTTACACTTGGGAGGGGCGTGAACCATCAGAAGCCATAGGGGAGACTGTGGCAGACAGGCTTGTGGGGGTGGTCCCCGTGTCATATCGCAGCTGGTGTCCTTGAACAGCTCCCTTCCCTTGAGTGAGGACAGGATATGTGACTCAGTCCTAACCTATAGAATACAGCTATGGTGATAGACATATGTAATCATGCACACAGGATTAAGTTGAATGAATGGTGACCTGTCTTGCTGGAGACTCTCTCTTGCAGACTGCAATGAAGCATGCAATTATTTTGGAAAGGCTTACATGGTGAAGAACTGTAGACAACCTTTAGTTGCTAAGGGCAGCCTCTGGCTGACAAACAGTAAAAAGCTGAAGCCCTCAGCATTATAGCTGCAAGAAAATGAATTCAGCCAAGAGAATGAACCAGCCTAGAAGTGGACCCTTCCCCAGTTCAATCTCCATATGAGAACTGATATATTGAATGTGGCCTCATACAGAATCCAACTAAGCCTTGTCTGTACTCCTGACTCACAGAAACAATGAGATATAAATGTGTGTTAATTTATGCTGCTAAATGTGGGCTAATATTGAGGCGGGAGATGCAGGTTTGATCCCTGGGTTGGAAAGACTCCCTGGAGAAGGAAATGGCTACCCACTCCAGTATTCTTGCTGGAAAATCCAATGGACAGAGAAACCTGGTGGGCCATACGCCATGGAGTTACAAAGAGTCAGACACAACTGAGTATGCACACAGTATTGTTATGCAGCAATATATGTCTAACAGAAAGTAAGAAAAAGAGAAAAAAAAACATTGAAGAAGAGAACAAGTATAAGCTAAAAGAGAGGAACCAGGCCCTGCTATACAACACAGGGAGTTACGCTCAGTATCCTGTTTTAGACCATAATGGAAAAGAATATGAAAAAGAATATATACAAACTAACTGAGTCACTTTACTGTGCAGCAGAAATTAACACAGTATTGTAAATTAACTATACCTCAATAATTTTTTTTTTTTTTTTAGAAGAGNAGCCAAGAACAGTCCCCGTGGTAGAGTAGGCACTAAGGTTTCCCTGGGCCAGATGGGTCTTGCTGATGCAGCCTCAGGGCAGTGGACACCATCAGTCATATTCCTCCTGCAGACTGGCCTTTGGAGAATCAGCTCACTGGTTCTTGGGAGAAAGAAGAAGGCAATTCAGAGTATGTGGGCCCTAACTAGTAAGCACCAGGGCAGCACCATGAGAAAAAGAGCAACAGCCCTAAGAGGACAGAAGGAGGTACTGAGGAGTTGGAGGAAACTGCCCACTTTAGAACAGTCTCGAAGCCTGTTCCAACAGGTACCTCCTGTAGCTGCTGAAAGCTGAAGCTTTCTGCCAACTTGTTATGGCAGCTAACAGTTGCCTTATCAGGAGCAGATATACTATCAGAAGACAGTTCCAAGGCTTTGCAGGAGGAGCTTAAACTCTAGCTCACAACAGTCTCTTTTGAAATGGAGTAATGAGCTTTGCTATAAGCCTGCTGCTTTTATAGGACAGCCTCAAGAAATCTTCACAATAAATCAAAGAGTCATATATCTCTTTTGAGATGCTGATTCTTAATTCTCACAGAAGTAAGAGGAAACGAGACATCCAAGAAAGTGACTTGTCAGGAATCATCAATCTCCTCCTTTGGTCAGTAAAGCTGTCATCACATAATTCCTTAGATTATGACTTCAGGAGTTTTATCCAGCATGGCTAGGCTGGATTTCTGAGTAATCTTTTATCCTATTGCTGCTTCTGAACATTTGGCCTTATTGAACAAGTATTTCTTTAGATGAACAAACAACAAGCAGAATCACAATTGCCCACACCTCCCGCACATCTGCCATTTCTCTTAGTGAAACAGTAGTTCTATCCAGTTTGAACAATGGCATGAATGATGCTTAATGGAGGTTGTTTACCATGGACTTCGTAACAGTATGTGTCAGAGGTAATGCTATTGTCTGAAATGCTTCTTGAGTAATTAAGAAAGAGTTGCACACTTTTGTTTAATAAGAGTCTTTTTTTTTGAACATAGCATTGGTAAGTGGAGATTTCATATATGCCTTAGATTAATTGTTTTAATGGAAGTTGATGTAAAACATTTATTAGTAAGGAATGGAGGCTAAAATATAATCCACTTGGACAACTGACTTTTACTGATTGGTAGGTTAGGTCCACAACCCCTGATCTGAAGTCCTTGGTGCCAAATGTGATTCATAATTCAGGGTTTCTCATGTGTGAGAAAGGTTACCTCATGTATATGCATATACTGTACTGATTATGATTTCTGCAAAAACTTAAGAGTATTTACATTAAACAGGATAAAAGTTTTATAAATACCATCAAACAATGTAGGCTTTATTGTTTATTGAGTTCAGGTTCAGCCAGATTTTGACATCTTGACAGTTCTTGTTTGTTTTAGAATGTTTTGTAATTCAGAATTACAGTTAATGGATGTGGACCTTTAATAACAATCACCACTAACATGGATAGTGGATGAACCCAGACAAACAAATACTAAAGTTATTTACAAAAATAGAATAAGGAGAGCATCGGGGAAACATGTAAAGATGGAGAATGAGTTTTTAATGTGTTCTTATTATAAAAGTAAAAAAAAAACTAGGTCTCCTGCAGTGAAACTCTGTTCTCCTGGGGGAAGGAGATTAATGCAAAAAAGCAGGTGGCTCCATTACAATTTAAATCTGTGATGAAGGAGAAGGATCTCATTTTGGTGTCTACAGTGAAAACATAATACAACTACAAGACAGAATGCTCACTTAAGGCAATGATTTTCTATGTCCTAAATCAATATTTTTAGATCCAGTGATATGTGTTTGGAAAGGGAAAAATATATAAGAAACATATAAATATGATATTATAAGTTGAATTGTGTCCGTCCCAAAATATATATTGAAGTCCTAACCCCAGAAATCTCAGAATGTAGCCTTATTTAGAAATAGGGTTATTGCAAATGCAGTTAGTTAAGACAAGGTCATAACAGAATACAATGCACCCTTAATCCTATACGACTCGTGGCTTTTTTTTTTCAGTGACATGCAATATCTTACTTCCTCAGCCAAAGTTTGATCCCATGCCCCTTGCAGTGGAAGCCAAGAATGTTAACCACTGGATTTCCAGGGAAGTCTTTATGTCTTTAAAGTAGGAAGAGAAGGCACACAGGCAGAGTTACACAAAGACGACCACACAAAGACAGAGGCAATGGCTGGAGTGAAGCTCTACAAGCTGAGGAATGCCCAAGATTGCTGGCAATCAGAAAAGCTAGGAGGAAACAGCAAGAAGTACGCCCCCACCCCCGCCCCACCCCCTGCAAAGACTTCAGAGAAAGCATGGCCCTGCCAACACCTTGATTTTAGAGTGCTGCCTCCAGAACTATATGAGAATAAATTTCTGTTCTTTCAATTCATCCAAGTTTGTGGTAACTTGTTTCAGCAACCCTAGGAAATAAATGCATGCTTTGATGAGGCTTATATTTTTCACTATTCAAGAATACTAATATTTTCAGCAGTAAAAATAAATATCCTAACTCATGTTAAACTTAACCAGTTTTGTTTAACATTATTGCTCCAGGAAAAGGCAGAGTTTATAAGTAATTTAGTTGGATAGCATCACCGATTCAATGGACATGAACTTGGGCAAACTCCTGGAGAAGGTGATGGACAGGGAGGCCTAGCGTGCTGCAGTCCATGGGGTCACAAAGAGTTGGACACAACTTTGTGACTGAACACCAACAACAATATAAATAATTTATTCAGTAAACTACTTACGATGTAGGGGACAACAACTATTTTACTCTCCTTTAGAAAGAAATAGTATTAGCATTCACCTACTAGAGAGATTTACTTCAATAAAATGAAAATGGCTGTAATGAGAAAAAGTTAACAAACAAAGCTATCTAGACAAGAATCTGACGGCAAACCTGGTTCAGGTCACATTTGTAAGGTTATGTTCCTCAAGTTCAGCTGCAAACCTACTAACAAAATACAGTGATGCTTCCAAGAAGGGCTCGAAATGAAATGCTGGTGTAGCTTTCCAAGAAATTCTCTTAAATATTTTCACAAAAATATGGTGACACAAACAGGAACACCTTGACCCCTGCAATTTATAACTTTGGCTGCATTTCTTCTTTTCATCATCTTGTAGTTCTCCTTAATAGACTATTCCACTACAGTCTCCCACTGTTTCCTGTGTTTTTGTTATTCATGATTTCATTCGTCTTATATCTGCTTCCAGGAAACATCCTCCTTACCTCTTCAACCTGTCGATACCATGGGCTTTCTTTACAGCCCATTCTCAGGCCTACATCATGACTATCTCAGCCTGCAGTACTTCCTCTATTTTATGAATTCCTAAATTTCTACAACTCCTTTTTAAACAATAGCCAGGGTGATTTTCTGAGTTTTTTCTGGTGGGTTATGTATCCTTAACTTGCAGTAGCATTAACTTCTTAACAAAATTTTCTCCAGTGGCTATTTGCCAGTGATGGATGCAGGAGACATGAAAATAGAGCTACTCCCTTGTGCTTGAGTTGCTGAATCATGTCTGACTCCTTTGTGATCCCTGGACTGTAGCCTTCCAGGCTCCTCTGTGCATGGGATTTCCCAGACAAGAGTACTTTAGTGGGTTGCCATTTCCTTCTGCAGGGGATCTTCCCAACACAGGGACTGCACCCGTGTCTCCTGCATTGCAAGCAGATTCTTGACCTCTGAACCACTGGGGAAGCCCCTAGACAAGCTCAAAATTGAGAGAAACAACCATTGTTTCTTCTTCAAGTACCACTGGCCATGTGCATACCATTGACTCTAGAAATGCGAATCGGGAAAGATGACTTTCAGTCTGGGTGATCAAAAATGCATCCTGGTAGAGTACACTTCACTCGTTCATTTATTACACGAATACTTACGGATTCTCAGTCTGCTCCAGGCACGCTCAGCTCCGGAGGTACATGCGGAAAGGCAGTGTGGGCAAAGGCCACAGTCTAACAGGGGGAGTGACTAAATGAGAGTGAAAATAATTTTATAATCAGCAACTCCTCTCATTATATTGTTTGGGAGGAATGAAAGCTCTATTTGTAATGTTTTGTTTTGTTTTTTTTACCAAGTACTGGTCCACTCAGAGTAAGCAAAGGGGCAGATAACAACGTGCGAATATTGTGCTTTCTTAGACCTGTGTGACCAGAAAACAGGAATTTCATGATCTCTTTCATTTATAATTTGAGGAGAGGAGGAGTAATGTTGGAATGTCTGTAACAATCATTTTTTCAAGTATCTTTTCTGATAGGAGCTCTGACTGCACATTTTTAACATGGTTAATCAGATCAGAGCAAGATATTTAATTATGTACTTATTAAACATGTAGTAAATGTATAACACCCAAGAAAGTTATTACCCCCAAAGCGCCTCTCCCTGAAGAGGCGGGGCCCACTTCCCCTTTGGCGACTGCCAGTTTATCTCCTGTGCCTCTGGACCCCTTTCTGTTTTCATATAAGGTCATTTATGCTATTTTTATTTTAGATTCCACATATAAATCATATACTATTTCTCTTTCTCTGACTTACTTTGCTTATCATCCCTAGGTCCATCCGTGTTTCTGCAAGTGGCATTGTTTCTGATTAATATCCCGCTGTTTATGTATACCATATCTTCTTTATCCATTCACCTGCTGATGAATAGGTTGCTTCTATGTCTTGGCTATTGTAGTTGGTGCCGCAATGTGTGTTTTTCAATAGAGGAACATACCCAGATGCTATATTCTCATCAGTATCACTTCCAGTTCCTCTAGCTGTTGCTGAATGCTAGGAGCTGGATGGTCATCCTGAACTGGGAAGAAGGTAGGAACTATTCAAAATGCTTTTGCTAAGTTTTTGTGGTTGCTATTGCTCAGTCACTAGGTTGTGTCGACTCTTTGCAGCCTCGTGAACTGCAGCACACCAGGCTTCCCTGTCCTTCACTATCTCCCTGAATTTGCTCCAACTCATGTCCATTGAGTCAGTGATGCCATCCAACCATCTCATCCTCTGACACACCTTCTTCTCTTGCCTTCACTCTTTCCCAGCATCAGGGTCTTTTCCAATGAGTCAGCTCTTTGCATCAGGTGGCCAAAGTTTTGGACCTTCAGCTTCAGAACCAGTCCTTCCAGTGAATATTCAGGGTTGATTTCCTTTAGGATTGTCTGATTTGAACTCCTTGCTGTCTAAGGGACTCTCAAGAGTTTTCTCCAGCACCACAGTTCAAAAGGATCAATTCTTTGGTGCGTAGCCTTCTTTATGGTCCAGCTCTTACATCCATACATGACTACTAGAAAAACCCAGCTTTGACTAGATGGACAAAGAAATGAAACACTTTAATTCTCAATGTTTCAAATGCTGTGAATTGCATTATGGTAAGTAAATATAGTTTTCATTTGGCATAACTGTGTACACAGCCCATTTGACTATGTGACAGCTGGGCATGCAGAACCCCACTGGAATTTTCGTTTGAACTTTCTCAAGCCCAAGATTCACTGCACAGATGCGGTGGTTTAATCTGGAGACACACATGTCTGGTGCACATAGGAACCCTGAGGAGCACGTGCCCGGGCACATTTCACCCGCAGCCTTCCTTCACTATCTTTCTCTCTCTGCTGTTTATTATTTTGCTTCAGATGAGAAATGGATGTGAGTATGTTCAATGCAGTCCTGGGTGTCCTTTCAAATACATGAAGTGGTGAGATCGTTACAATAACCAAATACATGGACCACATTGCAAGAAATGCTATTACGACTCCCATACATATCTCTTTCTTAAATGATTATTTTTGGGCAGAGTCAGGTGCCCAAAAGCTGCGACTAACGTTGCAGTGCATAGGATCTTCACTGCCGTGTGCAGGCTCTTCATCACTGCATGTGGAATCTTGGTCCTCCCCACCACCAGGGATCGAACCTGCGTCCCCTGCATTGGAGGGCAGATTCTTAACCACCAAGAAATCCCATGACTTCAATATTTAGATTGTGACTTGAGATAGCTTTCTTAAAGTAAACTTCTTCAGATGTAATATGCTTATGTTTGTTGCCACATATTCAACAATATGAAAGTACAGCTACTGAAAAGAAGCACAATAAAAAGAAAAAAGAGAAAGCTCTCATCTCTCCATAAAAACACTTCTTACGCTAATACTGTTCACTAAATCTGTTGAATTAGAAGACAGCAAAATTTCCTGATGTAATATCTTTCTCTTTCAGACATACTTTGTGCTGGAAAAATATATGACTGGAATGGCTCCAGTCATATAATTTCAGAATACATTCCAAAGTATTTTAAAATGCATTGAAGTCTAATAGATTCAGTAAGTATTTATGGAATACCTTTTATTAAGGAGTAAGGTCATATCCTGCATTTCTCATCAAATATCACCATAAAAAGATGTTTTGTATTTAATGTAGCTACCAGAGAAGAGAATAGAAGTGTGAATAAAATGCTTACTATATTTTAAGAAGGGACTCCAGTAAGAGACAGAGATGTGTAGGGGCTTGAAACTTAGCCCTTATCTGATGCCACAGTAGAGAATTGGGATTGAGGACCATTGTTCACCTTGATCTGCGTCACCTTGGGCAAGTCATGATTCCCTCTTTTATTCAGGGGTCTCACTCAGCTTATGCATGGACTGCAAACCTCTGAACTCCGTTCCTCTCTGAGTTTGAAATGCAAACCTCTGAACTCCGTTCCTCTCTGAGTTTGAAACGCTACCCGGTCCCTCCCTTACTCGGCTCTGCAAAGCTCCCGTGCTCTTCACGGGATCTCTTGACTTCTTAGATGTGGATCCTCCTTTGACATCAAAGCCTTAATGAAGTATATTAGTTAGTGAAAGTTTTAAGAAAAGATGATAACAAGTATTTTAGTCAGAAATTATTGGGTTTTATGTTCTCAAAGGATGATTTATAAAGTAATCCAGAAAATTGGGATCTTCTCTTCCCCTGCCATCCATTTGCAATTAGCTTTAATAGAAATAAGTGAATTTTCTGGTGGAAGAATGGGCCATTGTTTTATTCTTACTGTGTATTCAGTTTTGAAGACTTTGCATCTCCTCCAAGATAAGACGTGTAGGGTTGTGCTTGAATTCACAGAATGAATGGAAACTATTATCAGTTCCCTAGAAATAATCAACGAGAAGATACACATTCAGACTATAGTGATTACACTTTTTTTAAATTTTAAATATGCTTTCCACACAAAATTAAGTTGAATTGAAGTATATTACAATTCACCTTTGCTTAGATTTTTAAATTGAAGATCCTTTCAAAGAGACAATTTTCAAGGATACAATGTTAAAATATATAAGTACTTTA